GTCCCTCAGATAGCCCAGCCTAATGCCATGAAGGATTTTAAAGGTTACAAAACAACTCCTTGAATTGGACACAGAAGGAAACTGGCAACCAATGCAGCATTTAGAGCAGATGTGCTGTTTCAAGAGTGCACCTAACTACCCACACCGCTGCATTCTATACCAGCTAAAACTTCTGGGTAATATTCAAGGGCAGACCTATGTAGAACGCATTACAATAGTCCAATTTGGAGGTGAGTAGGGCATGACTGACTGTAAGCAGGGTTTATTCATTGTATTGATGGCTATTAGAAAATGTTAGAGTACTTAAAATTCTAACCAGTGACCTCAATAATTTCACTGTGTTTTCAACATTAAGCAGCATGCAAGATTAATACATTATTGCTATTATACAAAAACTTAAGTTACTAATGAATATAAATGAGAAAATTATTTTATGAACATATTTGACCTCTGTAAAATAAGTGATAGTCATCAGGAATTCTGTTTTAGGGGGAGGAGAGAGAAGGTAGAGCTACCAAGACTGAGAGCTTTGCACTGGGAAGTAATAATACAGTGCTTAGGATGAATAACTATAGTGTAGTTGTATAGTTGCTTGGATCATATCCAATTATGTTCTATTTCTTTTGCACGATAATACTTTTATAAAATATGCATTCGGCTGTATTTTTCGGTGCAAGGAAACATTGACCTCATTGCTTCCACAAGTGGAAAAATGCTGTTCTTTCTTTGCCCAGTTAACAGCAAAAAAATAAAAATAAAATGAAGCAAATAATAGTTGTGGCAATGTTATCAGCTCTCTACCCAAATGAAAATTGATGGGGTGGGGGAAAAGAAATATAAATCCATAGACTTTGTCTGAAAGACTACCCTAAGATGATGAGGCTTTAATTTTCTGGATCTTTAATTTTGGACATATATTTTGTTTTCAATTTATTTATGAAATGCAAATAATTATGTAAAAAAAAAATCTGCAGCACAATTCAATAGCTACTGTATGATCCTTGGTAGGGGGTTAGTCTATTTTTAGCCATGGCTTTATTGTATTTCCTACATTAAAGGTTGCAAGGCACATTTATTGATTGAAGTATATTTTGACCATTATTCACATAACATATTAATTCCAGATTAATTTTTTTGAGAAATTATTACTATTCTTTGAGTACAGGGTCAGATACTGGTATTAATCTGTATTTCTTTCTTACAAATCATTTTTAAACTATTTAAGCTTTTGCATGAGAAATCTGGATTGCCTAGAATGATATAATGACAATATATTCAATAAAAACATGTCTTCATTTCATAGCTTGGTCTAGAACCATTAACCAGTTCTGAAGTTCCTGAAATACTATTAATATTGGAATACATTTTGGGTGATTTTAAGTATAAAGTATTTTTTTACAAATAGTTGAAGAGTAACATTAATCTGTTATCGTATTTGCAAAACCCTGAGATAAGTGTCAGATCCGTGTATCTGTATAACTTGCACATGATATACAACTGGGGACTAGAGCCAGATGTCTGGAAATTCCAGCTCTGAAAGAAACTTCCTGGGAAACTTTTCTCAGATATGTTCCCAAAAAAAGGGGGGGGGATTAACATGTTGCCACTTTATTTGACTAAATCCACATCAAAATAAAGGAAGGGGTTCTAACTCCCTTTATCTATTACTGTATGCATGGAAGCATCTCAGATTCTGCTTTGGCTAGTACCTCGATAACTTCCTTTCAATAAAGAATTCTTTTTGAAGCACCTAGCTTTCAGAAGTTCATTCTTATTGGTTGAAGGGGAAAAGTCCGGTGCTTACATAAAGCAGAATCTGCAATAGAGGTCAACCCGGAGAGGATTTTTTTTTCTTTGAAAAGAACTTCACTCTACAGGGGACCCTGCAAAAAATGAATATAGCAAGGAGCAAGGGGAAGCCGAATGCTGGGGAGAAACTTCGACAACTACCCAGCCAGACACTGACTTTGTGTACCCCATCAAAGACATTGAAGCCAAGGATAGTCCAACCTCAGCAAAGAAACTAATCCCACTATTACCATCCTTGAGCAAACTAGATCAATACCTTCTAATTATTTAACATGAGCAATCATAAATACTTACAATACCTCCACATGCAACTTTTGTTTTGAATCAAAATAGGATAAAATCAGTGGTGGGATTCAAAATTTTTTACTACCGGTTCTGTGGGCATGGCTTGGTGGGTGTGGCTGGGGAAGGATACTGTAAAATCTCCAGTCAGAAGTAGTATTTGCTGGTTCTCTGAACTACTCAAAATTTCCGCTACCGGTTCTCCAGAACTGGTCAGAACCTGCTGAATACCACCTCTGGATAAAATGTACAAATCAGATATTCCAGAGGCAAGACAAGTTCACCAAGTTTCAAAAATCTGGGTTCTGGGATTTCATGTTATATTCCTTAATAATCTAAATTAAAATGCACATGACTTTTAAGTTTTATCCAGAATGGAGTAAAGGAAATAGAAAGCAAGACAATTATAAATACTGTACAGTAGTTGAAGTTGTAGTTGAAATATATTTATTTCCAAAGAAAGAACAACATAGATTTTCAGTTTATATTCTTTGGATCATAGCAATTGCTTGCTAAAATCATTCCTGCAAGCGCTTCAAGGGATTAGTAAACTAATCTAATTAGTAAATTAATCAGTTAATATTATGATTGATACTTTATATGGAACATTATAACATTAAGCTCATGTCGGCAACTCAAAGAGAAGATGAATCTGAAAAATAGTTGATGACTTTAATTCTTGGAATACTTACTTTTTGAATCTTGGTTTTTTATAAAGACCATTATGAATAACTAATATTGTGAATCAAATCTAAAAGATAAAACTTTTTTAAGGCCATTGTTAATCAGATGTAAACCTTTCCTTTTTTTCTTAGTCTCTTGAATGCCCACTACATTTATTTTTCTTCAATTAATTTTATGCATTAATTTAATTGTTTACCATTTTCTTCTGGTGTAATTCAAGTTGTAATCAGAGGTGGTATTCAGCAGGTTCTGACCAGTTCTGGAGAACTGGTAGCAGAAATTTTGAGTAGTTCAGAGAACCGGTAAATACCACCTCTGACTGGAGATTTTACAGTATCCTTCCCCTGCCATACCCACCAAGCCATGCCCACAGAAACCGGTAGTAAAAGAATTTGAATCCCACCACTGGTTGTAATCTTTTGTATGCCATAATTCATCAACAGACAGGGATCTAGATATTGACTTTTTTGCTGTTTGTAGCTTTGGCACAACAGTTTTAGAGAAGACTAATATGAGTAATACTAATATGAGTTGAACCTATGTCAATATGCTTCATTTTTTTTCCTAAGAAGGACAATACTAGTCAATTTGTTCCAATTCAAGCCTATATGCCTCTAGGTACAATAAATACTGAATTTTACCCAAGCATGCTGACCCTTTTTTATTCAAGTTAGGACCTCGAATTAAGAGAATATTTTGCACATAGCAACAGCAATAGCATTTAGACTTATATACCACTTCACAGTGCTTTACAGCACTCTCAGAATGGTTTAGAGAGTGAGCATATTTTCCCCAACAATCTGGTCCTCATTTTACTGACCTCAGAAGGATGGAAGACTGAGTCAACCTTGAGCCAGTCAGGATCAAAGGAATCAAACTCCTGGCAATGTGAACAGAGTAGTCTGCAATACTCCATTCTCACCACTGTGCCACCACGGCTCTTAATATGTTGCTGTCTATATCCCATTAACCAGAAGGCAATGAAATGACAAGTACTAAACTAATATGTAAGCTATTAGCAGGAGTAAAGTTTGTCATAGTTCAGAGGAAGATTATATCATACATTATTTTTCCCTTCTGCTTATTTCACTGAAAACTCCTTCAGTTAAAATGAGTATTATTGACTTCCAGTAAAGAAATGGCACAGTGAAAATGGCTCCACGAAAAGCAGAACCAACAACTAACTGCGGTGGAAAAAAGATCCAGCAAATAGACTGGCCCTTCTGGACAAGAAGAAGATTGTATTTATTGTATTTTAAGAAAAGATGAAAAATTACTAAAATTGTTTATACTTATGCAATGAAGATTGGAAGTCACTTCGATATATATTTCTTTCAATTTTCTTTACTTAATTCTTATTTTTTTCTTTCTTTTCTATTTCTCATTCTATTTTTCCTTTTTTTTCTACATCTATTTCTATTTTTTTAGTTTTTTCAATTTGCATTAGTTTTGTACTGTTCTAATTATAATTCTTAATAAAGTTACTATTAAAAAGACAAGCATTATTAAAACATATATAACTACATTAACATCTAATTATATGCTTATAAGGTTATTTTGAATTAGAGGTGCAGAATTAATTGCTAAACTAACTTCATAGCCTAAAATTAAGCAGCATATTGGCATAATGAAGCTAATTTTAGGAATTCTATGGAGCATTTAGAATAAATGAACTATACTGAGAAGTTGCATGAGGAATAAAGTTTTTAGGGTTGAGAAAGTATCATTTAGAAAGTGGAAGACCTGGCATAATTAAAACAACAAGGAGCATAAAATCTTCTAAAAGAACTGTATTAGTGAGGGAGGCAGAAAGGAAATCAGGGGATCATATTGTCAGAACTATGAAAATACATAACAAAATATTCTTCAAACACATTAGAAAAAGGAAACTAGTCATGGAAGCCATTGGTCCCTTGGATGAAAATTCAATCTAGTTTCTAGATTTGTATGCAATCTTATACTAATTCTGTGTGTGTTTACATGTTTATATGAAGAAAATTCTATGGAAGTTTCAGGACTCATTCCCAGACATATGAACTGAAATTTAGATACTAATTGGTATATTAACTGTAGGAAACAGCATGCTAATTACAGAAAGCTACATTTTTTTTAAATAATCTTCAACTTACTTTATGTTCTTGATTTAGATTTGGAACTGTCAAATATGTGAATGAAGTTTTTTTTTATTTTTCACTTTGTTACTTGTTGAGAAATAGCTTCCTTACCTTTTTCTTATTAGTAGGACTGACGTAAAGATAACTCAGCACAGTCTTTAGTCCCACCTTGTCATTTAGCTTTTCATATGTTGTACCATAATCTGTGGACCTGAAATGAAAATAATACATTTAGTGATTTCAGAAAAGAAATAAAGAGTAAAGGAAAGTGATGAATAGAAAATAGAAAAAGAAGTAGCCTCCAAACTCTTTAAGGAAACACAAATGATAAATCTATGTGTAACTCCTATAAAGAAGGACTACTCATTCTCATATTTTACTTTTTCTAATTATTAAACCCATAAAACACCAATTCCTTTATTCTAGTTTCAGTAAAAAGTCAAAATCAGTTTTATTTTGAATATTCCTTGAATCAGTCTTTTATTCCATGCAACTAAACAAATGACAAATGTCAGCAATTGTTTTAGTGTGTGTGGTATCTAGCTGAATTTAGTTTCTGAAGTAATAGGTTAAATTTAGATAATTCATGAGCACATTTATGCTTACTGGGCTCCCCTACAGGAAGAAAGGTTGGTTTTTATTAATTCCCACTTCACTTTGCAGCTTTTACCAAAAATGATTTTAGAGATGGGAGGACAACAGAAACTACAATTTAAAAAGAGAAAAATGGACAAGATCTTTCCATTTCTTCAGTGATGACCACTACAGGTTCCTAATCCCTTCTATAAATGAGTGAATTCATACACACCAGAACAGGTCAGAATGCACCCTGTAACAATAGAATACCTAATCAGATAACTAGAAAACAAAGTTAAAACAAGGTTGTTGTTTTTTTCTCTAAACTGAGGTTCTCCAAAGAATGAACTTTCCATACAAAGAGTTAACTTGTAGGTGCTTTCCTGCCAGAGAAATGAAGAACAGGACATCTAAATCTGATTAGACCATATTCAGGCTGTTGTGTATCCATTCCATATATGTTTATAGGATAGTGATAAATACATTAAAGTTATTAACTAGGCTTAAGATTCTGGGGTTTATATCAAATGGAGAAGTGTTCCCAGACACCTCTGGGAACCAATTATTGCTATCTTTACTTTGTATGTTGTATCAAATTCTGTGAAATTTCACTTATTTTATGGCTCCTGGTTTGTTTGGTTTAAAATAGTAAATGTCTATGAGTAATGACATGAAAATTATTATACATATAAAGTTACAAGTTTGAAACTCAAAGGTTCCATGCCAGGGGGCTTTTTTTATCTGAGAAGAAAAGCAATATAGGTAGTCCTTATTTCATGATTGTTCACAGTTACAACACTGTTCAAAAAGTAACTTTGCAACCAATTCTTGCATTTATGACCTTCACAGGTCTGTAAAGCACATAAAAGTTGAAATAATATTGTACACTCAATTAAGTTTCACTCAGAAACTGTCTCACTTAATGACCAAGTTGCTGGTCCCGATTGTGTCACTAAATGAGGACTGTATGTAATTTCTCCCCTTGAAAAATTTGAGGATGTAACAGGTGATCCAGAGAACTAAGTTGCTTGTTTGAGCAGCTGAAAATTCCTGGTCCTATCTCAAAGGACTTTCTCCTCTATGCCTTCTCTTTTTTCTTATTATTGATCTTGTTTGCGATTTCAAAGAAAAGATAGCTTTACTTTATCTTCTAAAAGAAAACTGGCAATCTTTATCATTATCCACAGAATATGGAGACAGGATCTTCCTCGATGTTTTCTCATTCAATATGGCAAAAGTCACAGCAAAAAAATTAGTCCCCCGGAATTTCAATTCCAAAACATCATATTGTAGATACAAGTAGCAAGGATGAAAAAAAGCCTGATTAACTTATTACATGGTAATTTATGACTGTGTTAGTTGACCTTATATGGTTCATTTATTCTCTAATTAATATAAACATTCATGTACTATGTTTTTAATTTTTATAAAAGCATCAAGGAAAATAGAAAAACATCAGAAGCATATTTCTTCTTATACAAATCTACATTCATGTCATGCTACACATTTACAATCCAATATTTATTTCTATTTAAATGTAATACAAATAGAAAATTATACATATACATTGGTGTTTGAGGTCTAATTTTCTAAATAGTTCTGCAAAAAGGGTTCTTATAGAAAATGCTTATTTTAGTATAGAAAAAGAGATAAGTCCTTTGTACCATTGAATGACTGGCAAAAATTAGATTTCTTTCCAACCTTGTAGTTTTTTTTTTATTTTAATTACAGAAGCAGAAAATATCAATTTTCATTGTCTTGCTCTAAGTTTCAAACTGTAGTCTATAATTGAAAAGAACATGAGCATCTACAATAACCACTGACCTTCCAGAGCACAATCAATATGCGAAATAATTTCTGTCTCAAAAGGAGCCACTAGAGCACAGGAAATAACACACAAGCAGTGATACATTTTTATCACCACAAGTACAATAACTGCCTGAACTCCTCAGTTCATACTGGAAGATATGCATTATTATCCAGTAGATAAGAAATATGAATTTGAAATAATTATATATATTTAAATTAGGAAAATTTCCTAATTTGTATCTAATTGATACTTCAGATCCTTATTCCATGTGTCTCTATACTTTTGAACATTTAATATAATATATTCTAACATCCAATTATTAAGTATTCTATAGAAATGTTTTATTGTATTAAAAACTGTTAAATCAATAAGTTTAGTCTATTGTTAAGGCACCAGGCTAGAAAGTGGAAGACTGTGAGCAATTCTTTCTTTCTTCTACTTGTATTGGTGACATAAGGAGAAAGATACCTCTATGCTTATAGCACATCTGTACTGTCCAGTTTACACATACACATCACAATCAGGATTAAGCATGGCTATTTCACACAAGCAATCCTATAATCATTCCCCAGGTCACATAGTGCAGTCCTTACAGTCAGTTATAAGTGACCATAAGTGAACAGCAATGGAATAAGGCAAGACTCAGTTTCTTCTGCACCTAAGGCATGGAGAGGGGCAGCACCAGCATGGAATGAATTCTGAGCAGGGCACAGAAACCACTGAAAGCAATCATGACTCTCCAGACTCCAGGCATGGGGAAGTCAACTTGGTTTTGATGGGTTCAAAGCACAGTGAAAGCAATTTGATTTCAATGCATGCAAGGCATGATGACAGCAACTTGACTTCAATTTGTTCAAGGCACAACAACAGCAACAGAGTCTCAATGAGTTCAAGGCAATGAATCATGAACATTCAGGGATGGATAGATTACCAACCAGTCTCCAGGTTCCAAGGATAAAAGAAAGTAAATGCTGACTTGCATGCCTCATTAGGAGAGGCAATGCTGCCTCCTTGTAAGTAACATCAATAACCTCCATTGTACCCCTCTCTGCACAACTTGGGATCAGGCAGGGGCAGCAACTTCTCTTTTGCACTGTGCAGCTGCTTCTAGCTTCCAGCTAGTCCCTCTTGGATCCCACAAAGTTCTTGGCATGGCTTCACCTTGATCATTCTGATTCTGCCACAGAGTCTTTCCTGTTCCCCTGGTCCCTGGAGCCATCAATTTCTTCGTCATCCAAGCCAGCACCAGAGGGAGCCATCACAACATCTCCAAAGAAGATCCTATCTCTACATATTATTGCTTTTTGTGAGGTAGAACTCTGATAATGTAGGATCTCATGGAATTTTTCACATGTAAACAAAGGCTGGAAGTTATAGACAATCCTGAGGTGAATGTATCTATTGATTTAAATTTTCAATGTACTTGGAATAGTGAAGAGACCCATCCCTCATTGCTGGATTGATCACACAAAATTATTAACTGAACATGAAATAATGCCTAAAATAAGTGTGGTATATTATTACACCACCGTTCTGTTATTTTAAATTCTTTCTTATAGTCTCTGGTTACTTCATATTCCCTTCAGTTTCTTGTTGTAGTACAGAAAACAGAGAACAGTAATTCTTAGTATTCACTGCATAAGAAAACAAAATGAGATATGTAACAGTAAAGCTACATACACTATTTGGAAATTGGAAGAGCAATTGTGAGATCAATAGGACACTACTGCTACTTCCTATAATATTATATCTTAAGCCAATTGTAACAACTGGCTTTTAATTTTTAAAAGGGTCAGGTCAAGCTGAAAAACTGCATTGGCCAGAATCCAAATTATATACTGTAGTTATCTATCTTGGTACCAGGAGCAGGTTTATTGCTGAGAAGTAATATCCCTTTAAAAAAACAGCTTGGAATTAGAGTTTCCTAATGTGTAAAGTTGAATACTGGTAATGTGGAACGAATTAAACAAATGCTAGTGAAAAATCCAATAGCTATAGATTCACAGGATCATCCAGTTCTAAATGGATAAATATATAAAAGCTTTTGCAATGGCATGAGCACTAATACTTTTCTTCAAGCTAACCTACCAGCAAGAGTTTAAGAATGGAAGCAATCAGATTTACACAATTAAAACACGAGACTTTAGAAAGTCATTTGTTGGATAAATGTAACATGCAGCTAGTCCTCAAATTATGACCATAACTGAGCCCCAAGTTTCTGTTGCTAAGTGAGACATTTGATAGATGAATTTCCCCCCCCCCATTTTACAACCTTCCTTGCCACAGTTGTTAAGTGAATCACTGCAGTTGTTAAGTTAGTACCACAATTGTTAAGTGCATCTGGCTTCCTCATTGACTTTGCTTGTAAGAAGATCATAAAAGGTGATTATGTGACCCTAGGACACTGCAACAGTCATAAATATTAATTAGCTGCCAAGCATCTGAATTGTGATCACCTGACTGTGGGGATGCTGCAATAGTCAAGTGTTAAAATGGTCATAAGTCACTTTATTCAGTAACTTTGAACAGTTGCTAAACAAACTATTGTAAGTCAAGGATTACCTGTAATGATTTAAAATGATGACCAGTTTGTTTTGCCTTGCCTACATGTTGACAGTAAATTGAATAATGGATAATTATTCTTCATACTGATTTCATTCTAAAATATCCCTTTACTGCAGTGGTTTCCAAAGTGGGTGGTACCACCACCTGGGGGGCAGTGGGATGCCTTAGAGGGGCAGTAAGAAGCAAGGGGGCCGGCAGGGGGGCGCTAAGACGTGGCAGGGGGGCGTTCGAGGTGCCAGCCCCACAGGCTCACGGACTGC